AGCTAAAACAACTAAAAAGAGCAGAAAACATCTGTAAGATGCATAAATACCACAAATTCCCAGAAAAAAGCTCAAACCGTAGAAAAAAAGCAAAAGAATAGAAAAAAGAAGATCTAAAAGCTAAAATTAGCATAAAAAGAGCTAAATGTAGCAGCCACAAGCTGTAATTAGCACCCAAACAGTGGTAAAAAAATGTAAAATTGGCAGAAAAAAAATGCATAAATGTACAAAAAAGGGACATTTGTAGTTAAATAACTAAAACAGCCAAAATTTGAAGTAAAATAATTCAAAAGTAGCTGGAAATTCTTTAATCAGCATAATGAAGCATAAGGAGCTTAAGTTTCCAGAACTTAGCAGAAAAAAGTTATATTACCTACAAAAACTGTGTATTTAAAAGCTAACTTTTGCTAATAACAGCTAAAAATTATCTAAAGTTGCAGCAAATAAATGCAAATAGCAGAATGCAACTGTAAGGAGTATAATTAGCACAAATTAGCGGAAAAGGGCACAAAAAAGTAGAAAAAGGCAGAAGAGTAGCAGAAAGAAGCTGAATTGTAGCTGAAATAGCAGAAAATAGCTAAAATTAGCAAAAACGTAGCAAAAAATTAAGACAGGGAAGTTAAAAATAGCAGTACCAGACCAAAAGGTGCAAGGATCTGTAAAGACTTAGAAACATTTTAAAAGTTTTTAAGGATGTTGAAAACAACTCCATTCATTTTCAATGGCAAAAATGTGGCTAAAAAGTGAAATAGCTGAAAAAGTAAAAATAGTTGAAATACCGAAAGTCATAGCAGGATTGTCATAAATGAGCTGAACATTTTGATATATGAATTGTTGAAAAAGCACAAAAATTGTGGAATGAGTTAGACGCCAAATATCACATGGAAGAAAAAATGATCTCAATAGTGTGAATGCTGTGAAGCATTCACACAATAATGCAATTTATTTGTTAGCACCTTTCAAAACGCCCAAGGGCACTTCACAACATTAAAAACACAACATTAACAATAAAAAGGCAATAAAAACACTACGGTTAAAAGAAAATGAGTAAGAAATTAAAGTGAGATTTAATTTCATTTTAATCTGCGTTATTCGATGAAGTCTTGGGCAGCAGATTTGAAGGTTGTGGCAAAGCCGGGGTTTTTTGGGTGCAAATTGTGGCATCTCATCAGGACACCTGTCTTTTAAAGGTACTCCTTGCAAAATCACAAAGACCAGCTGTCACGTACGTTTACTTGGGTTTGTTTACTTAAGACAAAGAGCTTAAGTGACAGAAAGTAGGTCAAAAATAGCTATAAATAGCATTTTGTGATAAAGTTCATTATTTTCTGTAATGTACTGATAAACATTAAACTTTCATAT